TGGGGGTGTTGGTGGGATTATTGGGGACTCTGGACCCTTCTTTTCTTTTATTTTGCGGGGTGCCGCCCGACTGCCGACCGGTAGGTGCTGACCAGTGGAACGGTCGGCTGGTCAGCCCCCGACCAACCCAGGGGTGACGACCGTCTGCGTGACTACTCTTCCCTGGACCCTATACCCATTGACCCTGCGACTTTTCTCAGATCCTTTGAAGCCTAGAAACGTGAGTTTTAACCCCTGAATCTTGACTTCGATCAAAAGTGACGACCCTGGCCTGTGTCTGCACGGATTTGAATGCAGTTCATCGCAACACTGGTAAATGGTTAATTCAACATCTCAGCGCTCTCTTTTCCCTTTTCATCACTGAGTTGAGAGTCGAGAAAATAAATGCTAAACGGTACACAACACTTGTGTACCCGCCCTTTGTATGCACCCCTCACATTTCGATGTTCAGCTAAATGCCACTGATGAGAAGAAAATGCTGATGAAACCTGCAAGGCTAAAGAAAATATATATGTGATAAACCTTTAGATATTCATCAATGGGTAGAGAAGAGGACTTCATATGTTGTTGAATGAATTGCCAGTAATTGATGAACCCCACCCGCTTTCCGAAAGATAGGCAGGGCATCCTCTTGTCTTCCCTTACTATAGTTGTCATGATCCTCCCCTGCCTCCCCCCTCCCCCCCAAGATTATCACCCCCCTTCACGCCTAACCCATACATCAACGCCCCCCCCTTCTTTTTCTCCCTTCCTCAGCCAAGAAACCCAAGTCAGAAACAGGAAACAATACCAAGGAGCAAAGACAGAGACGAGGTGGATTCCTATGCATGCATACCAGCTGATAGCTCATCTCCATCGTCCCGATCTCGGATCGCTGTCCTCGCTGTCTTATCCACAACCTCCAGCAGCTCTGGCCCATCCAATTGCCAACAAGCACACAAACACATCAGGAGATATCTGAAATGGAAAGCTCAAAAGGGGAAAATCGTTGATTGGATTTCATAAGAGTACCTTTTGCTCGAAAACAAGCACACAAACACCACAGTACATAACTGGAACATAACGCCCCTAAAAGAGGAGATAGGTTCCATATTTCATAAGAAAGAGCAAATAGATAGATGAAGTTTCACTAGACACATCTACAAAAATAGAAACTCTGTGGCAGTCCTAGAAGGATTTTTGTGATTACCTTATTCCCCCGAACACAATGCACCCTCATTTTGATCTGTAGGTCTGTCGACTAGGAGTCACCGCTCTGTAGAGGTCGTGGCTGTAGATGCTCTGAAAGGTCAAGGTCGTAGCTGCTACGGTCCTGAAAGGTCAAGGTCGTAGCTGCTACAGTACCCAAAAGGCCAAGTCCACAGCCTTCCGGAAGGTCCGGAAGTGGTCTTTCGAAGTGTCTCACGTTTAGTCAGAGGCAAGTGGGCAAGTGGTGGGCCTTTAGTCAGAGGCAAGTGGGCAAGTGGTGAGCCAACTGCGTTACGTCAGCAGTGCGACTGCATCGAGTTGGCAGTGCAAACCCATGCAGTCAGCGGCACCGGTCCCAGTCAGTCAGAGTCCAGTCAAGCAAGTACCGTGTGGGACTATGTGCACCAAGGGCCTGGGAAAGGGGCAGACCAACGAGTTACATAGTATAAATCAAGAGGCAGCGCCCAGCCATTCGTTCATTCGCTGCGGAAGCCATGCGGAAGCGCTGCTACAGCGTCTTGTGCGAAGGTGGTCTGCAGGTTGCCCGAAGACGAAGTGGGCTGAAGGGAGATCGTAGCCATAGTCAGTAGTGGTAGTGCGGCCATAGCCGCTGTAGGAGGAAGTTAGACATAGTGTATGTGTGTGGTGGTATTCAGGGTGATCCAGAGTGAGCGTGTGTGAACAGTGGGGTTGGACACAGTGACGAAGGTTGGGATGTTCCGGCGCTGATGCGCCATAGCCTGTTCAAGAGAACTTGCATTTGAACTGTGTTCTTGATTTCCATATCTCTAAGCTTTGAGTGGGCGCCCTGCGCCAATGTGAATCTCCGTCTGTTTGCATGTGCGCGAAGTGGAAAGAAAGCGAGTCTGATTGCATCTTTGTCTGTGGTTGGTTATTAGTGTTATTACACTGTCGGTACCGGTTACTATTGTTGTTGTCTATTGCTGATATTGCTGTATTGTTGCTATTCTTCCCTATTGATGTTAAAGAGCGGCTGGGGGGTGGAGGTGAGGGCGGGGAGGGTAGAGCTCCTAACATCCTTGTATCTCTCGGGATTCGAAATGTTGATCTCTTCACGAACACCTCTACACATATGAATGTATCATTCACCCACCACGTTGGTTCGGTTATTGTTATTCTTGGGACCGGGTCGGGTCAAGAGTCAGCGGAAATACTGAGACCGTGGAAACTGTTACGTTACCTGAGAGTGCGGAGCCGTTACGTTAGCAGAACGCAACTTTTCGGTTGGAGACACCCACATCTCCCTCACTTGTAATTGTGGAGACGCTATATTTAGAAAGCCAACATTATAACAAAAACAGGCATGGACAAGGACCCCGCTACAGAAAACAACAATAAGGACATACTCACACTAGCAATATCTTAGATGTATCTGACAGCATTTACAGCCGGCCCAGGATGCATCTGGCCCAAATTACGTCCAGAAATAAGCAAAATAGTCCTAGTTTGAGTATGACCTGAGTCGTCCGCAGTTTCGTTTTACTGAAGTCGTACGCTGTTACGCTTACTTCGCTGAAAATGGCTGCTTAACGGAAACCATAACGTAACGGAAACGCTTAACTTCCTCTGTGATTCTCCAGTTTCTCCTCCTGCCATGGTGTATAACACTCCTAATTGCTCACAAAAACGACGATGGGGGAGAGAGAGAGAGAGAGAGAGAGAGAGAGAGAGAGAGAGAGAGAGAGAGAGAGAGAGAGAGGAGACAATTGTTTTGGGCCAAAGAAAAGCAAAAAATGTTATTGGACGGTAATAAATACCAATAGTACCAGGAACTCGTTTTTGAACAAAAGAAAGGGAACAACCGATTTGGAAAGAAGAGCTGAGATCCCTCATAATCACAAGTGTTGATGATGATGATGAGGAGGAGGAGGAGGATGCGGATGGGGATGAGGATGATGATGATGAGGATGATGACGAGGATGGTTGCCATACGAGGATGAGGATAACAATTGATGATGATGATCATCATCATCAAGAAGATTACGGATGTTAATAACGACAATCAGAAAAAAGAAAAAGAAAAAAAGACAATGATGTCCTCAATTGACGCTACTACGTCAATGATGACGATGATGATATGATGCCTGTTTTGTGAACATCAATTTTTAAGAAGAAAAAAATAAAATAAAATAAACACTGCAAGACAGTGGCAGTAGATTTCGGGTTAAGTTGGGAATGCGAGGAATACCAATCCCATAGGGGTTAAGAAGCGGGACTACAGGGCTACATTCATGCGCTTACCCGCGGATAAACCTCATTGCCCTTCAGCTGCTCTCTCTCTCTCTCGCCACCTTCCCCACACACACACACAAACACACTCCACGCAGCTAAACCTCGCCAGGCCTCAGCTTCCTCTCTCTCTCTCTCTCTCTCTCTCTCTCTCTCTCTCTCTCTCTCTCTCTCTCTC